ATATTTTGCTGATATTTTACCTAGTATTTCTGCATCTGCTTTATAAGTATGATTCATCTATACTTATTTCTCTTTTTCACTGTCCTTGTTAAATTTTAGTAATGAGGTAAAAATAAACTTATAAAAAAGAATTGGGTAGCTTTTCCTCTTTTTTACTTATCTGATACTTCTTAAAACCACCTGGGCCTTGTTTTTTTATTTTGTGGAGAACTATTTGACTCCTGGTGAAATTTTAAAAAATTATTATTTGAGTTCTATTTTTCTTCTTGGGAAAGTTTTGTTAATTTCTATTTTTGTAGGAAATAGCTTCTTTCATCTGAAATTTTCCAGTTCATAGGCTCAAAGTAAATGCTATTCGCTAATAATTTAAAACGTCTCTACTGCATTCTTTTTTATTTCCTAATACGATTTCTTGGAGTCGTCTCTCTTTTTTGCCTCATTAATTTACAAACAACCTTAGGGTGTTCTGCCAACATTTTTGGATGGCCACTTGAATTTCTGGGCCAGGGTGGCAGGCTGTACCCAGACGTGAAGTACAAGGACCAGGACACTGAAGTTATGTTCATCATGGATTCTTCCACTTTTGGTACATCAGTTCTTCTCTCCCCACCTGGCCTTCTCCCTCATTCTGAATACTCTCCCAGTCTCCTAAGATAACCTTTGAACTGCCATGGAGAGAAGCAGTGTGGCTTAAACATGGCCACACTAATGTTGCATAGATTTTCCAGAAGTTACATTCAAGTCTCACACAATCAGTCAACATAAAAGGCAGGACTGGATTACAAAATGCTATACTGTAGATTTTAACAGATATAGATATAGATATAGATATAGATGATATAGATATAGATATAGATATAGATATAGATATAGATATAGAGATATAGATATATAGATATAGATGATATAGATATAGATATAGATATAGATATAGATATAGATATAGATAGATATAGATATAGATATATAGATATAGATATCAGAAAGGAAGGGAATGGGAGAGAGAGATAGGAACATCAAGGATGAGAGAGAATCATTGATCAGCTGCCTCCTGTGTGCCCCTACATGTGCCTGGCCTCAGAATCAAACCATGACCTTTTAGTTCATAGGCGCTCAACAACTGAGCCTTGCCAGCCAGGCCAGACTTTTTTCTTAATGCTCTCTCAATAAGTTATTTGTTTAATTAGTACTTAAATGCCTATGACGTGTAAATCCTGAGTGAAAAATAGTGTTAAATCTATAGTCACCCCTAATCGATTAATGAAGTTTTGGCAAGAAGACATGATGTTGCCTGCCTTATTGTTTATGTTAAAGTCTATGTGCAGGTATAGGCCTATCAGTAACTGAGTCTATCTGTATACACACATTGGCCAACAGGACCTTCTGGATCTTTGCTGTTCAATACAGTAACTATTAGCCACCTGTAACTATTTACATTTAAATGAATAAAAATTAAATGGAATTAAAGTTAGTTCCTTCATCACAGTAGTCACATTTCAAGGGCTCAACAGCCACTTATTCTAGTAGCTATAGTGTTGGGAAACTCTGAATGATAGAACATTTCCACCACCTCAGGAAGTTCCACTGGATAGCTCAGTCCTGAAGGAAGTTTCTACACTAATTGAAGTAGTAGTCACTCCTGTATGCTTGCCTCAGGGAGCAGATCACCTTGCCCTTGCTGAGCTGGTTGAGTGCTCATGCTTAAGGCTAACTTGATTAAAATAGTTTGTTCTTTTAAGAAGGTTAAACAAATGTGTTTGTTCGTTTTTATCTCAGAAATTTTCCTGGGGATTCCAAAATTCAGAAATTCTGTATTAGCAAGGCCCAAATTAATGCAATTTTCTATACTCCCTAAGCCAATCTTGAAGAATACACTTCCTTTCGCATTATTCCTGGCCAGAGGTCACCCACCGCCCTTCTCCCTCCTGCCATTTACCACTTGTTGATGATGTAAAAAATCACCCCTTTCCTGGTCACTATCAGCCCTGAAACATTTGTCAACTTTGGCCACTTTCCTATAATAAATCACTGGGCATTTTCCTTGCCTTTGCACTATAAGTGACAACTTTAGCAAAAGCACCCTCTTTCCCCACACCATTTGCCAGTTAGGCCTGGTAAAAACAGATAACTTATGCTTCCTGTTGTGTATGATTCAAGTATCAGATCTCTATATGCTGAGTGTGTCATAGATGGAAGAACATTCTTTTGAAGTACTCACAGCAATGCAATGGTATGGTGAAATACACATGAATCAGAATGAGAGCAAGGAGACCATGGGGCCAGGGGTTCTTCCTGTGCTGGGTGTGTTTGGATTAACAAAGGGATGACAGCCAACAAGAAGAGGGTGGGAGCCCTAACATGTTGCTGCAACTCCTACTGGCCTGAGGGTGGACAGGGTTCCTAAGGGACTCAGCCACAGTAAGGGTTTTGTGTCATTTATCAAAATGTGTTCCCTTCCTCGCCCCAGTTGTGTGACATGCTTGATAGTGGCTTATTTTCTTCTGTCTCTTCAAAATCCCTCCTGCCTGATGGTGTGGGCTGTAAACCAACACACCCATCAAAGTCTGTCCACCTCTTCTTCCCCCTTGCTCCAGTCACTGGGACACATTAAGAAGAGAGCATGCAGGGTGCTACTTTGTGAACCCCTCATCTCAACTAATAATCAGCTGAGGAAAACCCAGGGAAAGTCTGGATGAAGATGATTAAAAGAAGGAATCTAGAAGTCTTTTGTATATCACCCCCAGAGGCCAGAATATGCTTTTTTCTTAGCTTCTCAATCCTTCCTGAGTATCCACCTAATGACCCACTTAATCCATCACCACGTCTGGTCCTCTATCCTTCTAAGCACCTCTGAAATGTGTCTACCCTCCCATTCTACCACCTGATTTAAAATGACCATCTTGGTATTGGATTTCTCCCCATCTGCCTTCATACAGCAGCCAGAGAGAAACATTGAAAGAGACAAATTTCAACAGGCCACTTCCCTGCTTAAACCTCTTTTTGCTTAGAATTAAGAAGACATACCTATTGGGGCATACCTGGTTGTCCCCTGCTGTATTCTCTAACCTTACGTCCACCTCACTCCCTGGACCTTGTAATTATGCTTTTCTCACACAGGCTTTTTCTTTGATTCCTATAATAATCCTCATGTGTTTCTGCCTGAGGGTCTCTACACATGTGGTACTTGTGCTTGGATGAGTCTTCCCCCAATTCCCTCTTATCTGGTCAACTGATACTCATCCTTCATTTATCAGTTTCGTCACCACTTCCTCTTCATGTATCACTTTAGTTACCACACTCCTCTCCTCCAGAACTAGGTCAGGCTGAGGTTTTCTATTTATACGGGTGACTATTTGGTTAGTTCTCTTTCCCATAAGATTTATAAGCTCCAAAGACAATATTCATCTTTCACTCACCATTGTATTCCCAGCTACTATAGCTGGCAATGGAGATGTGGGTAAATTTTTGTTGACTGAATAAATAGTGAATTTTGTTATCTGTCAGGAGAGGAGTATGGTATACAAAGGAAGTCACAGACCAGAGAGCCCGGGGTTCAAATCCTGACCCTGCCAATTTGTTATCAGGTGATCTGGGCAAGTTGATTTAACTCTCCACATCAGTAGGTTCTCAACTGACTACAGACTCCATCATCACCACTATTATTATTGCTGTGATCCAATTTGGAGACAATGGGGTTGGAAGTACTCTGGGGAGGCCATCGGGTCCTCAGGAAGAAGTGACAGATCACTCAGACCCAAAAGGAAACAGATAGTAACATTTTTTATTAAATATTACAGTGGATCAAAAAGTACAAAATATCTCTTGCCTGCTATGTGATTGGGAAACTATTGGCACGTAATACAGTATCAAAAGCAGTAATAAGTACAATTTGGAAAACATACAAAATTGAGTGTTTATAGTTGGCTCAGCATTCTTCTGGTAGTGTTTAAACTAATGCAAAGGTTACTCAATAACCTCTCCATTGGGAAACTATATAATATCACTGGGCCATGTTGCTATATACAAATAATCACCTTACAGAGCAGAGGTTACATAGCTGGGATCACCAAAAGTATACAATATTTACAACACAGGAAAGTTTAAAAAAGTATAAACAGCCAATAGAGATTATGCTGCTATTCTTCAGACATATTTCAACCATGGGGAGACAAGCAGAATATCAAACACATCAACAGCCAACACTGGAATTTAAGTGCTCAAGATAATCATTGCAATGGTGTGGGTCTCACAAGGGCAACCTTGTCCCCATTTCTCTTTAAAATCGGGAACAAGAGTAAAACTGGACCAGATGGGACTTGGCTGACCACCACCAAATGTGACTTTTGTGGGACACGAGTGAAGAGAAATAAATGGTTCTCTTTGAAGGCACACTACATAAAATATTTTTTTGTGGGATCACCTTGAAATTTCCATCAGACACACCAACACAGTGAAATACAGTACTTGAGAATTCATGCACCAGGTCAGAAAGTTGTAAAGTCAACATTGAGTTTTCACAAACCCTTCTGTATATGCCCTGATAAACAAGTGAACTTAAGAGCTTCTAACTAGAAAATAAATAAGTCAGTCCTGTGGCAAATATTACAAGTTCCAATCACTAGTAGGAGAATACTTAATTCTAAAACTTGGTTGGGCTATTTTTTTCTTTTTCTTTTTCTTTTTTTTTTTTTTTTATGTTGAGTTGCCAGAAGTTGCATGGAAAGGCTTTAAAAAAAAACAACATTATTTAGAATCTTCAAATCTCCAGTAAATCAGGGAGTTAGTGCATTTTGAATTGCAACATTTCTTGGAAGCCACACTCAGTAAATAGATTTATGACTCCACTGCCAATTAGATTCCACAGTTTCCTTTACAGAACTACCAATAACAATGGTTTGACTGCACAAAGAAAGGCTTGTGCAATTCCATTCAATAATAAGGCCCCTTGAACTCAAACAATGCAAACAAAGCCCCATTTAAGACTTTTTAAAATGTACTTCTCAGCCAACGAAGAATTCAATGGTCTTTTTGAAAGATTTCCAAGATCTCTGTTCGGGAGTTTTAAAACAAATAACACACTGCTTCTGTTGGGAATGTGTGCCCCCATTTCTCTTTATTTGTCCTGATGTTTTGCTGAGGGTATGAGCTTCCTCAGACAGAAACAGTGAGTCTCCTCTTGGAAGAGATGAGAAAAACAAAAGCTGGACTATGTTAACATTGTTTGAAAATGGTATGATCAAATTCCAACATGATGAAACCAGACTGAAATCATCCCAGTGGGGAAAACAAATGGCCCATATTCCAAACGGATAGGTGAGCTCCACCAGGGACAGACGGCTCCCCATTTCCTTTGAGAAACAAACTCACAGAAACCACGTCTGATCTAGCCTGGATCTTGCTGCAGAAAACACTGGAGTTTGCTCTATCTTCCATGTCCTCTGATTCTGTGACCATCCAATCTAGTGCAACTTTCTTAGATCGGTCCTGGCTAGCACTTCGCCAGCTGGAATTGAGATTCTTCCCCCCAACTCTATCTTGTGCAATAGCAGGATAATCTGCGCTCACACATTTATAACCTAAATTCTACTACTCTATCTATGGTTCTATTAAATATATATATATATATATATATATATTATTCCACAGGAAGGTAAATAATTAATTGAAGCAAATGGAACTCTTAACACTAGATCTCTACATTCTTTTTGTTTCCACCTTTGGATAGTAAGTATGTTACACGGAATATTTGGCTTCGTATCATGGAGACATTTCAATACAAATGCACGGCATGCATGGCTTCGGTTAAGAGCCGCAGTTTCATTGTTTACCAGTTTTGATTATTTTGCAGTCGAGTTACCTATAGGTTGAAAATTGTCGTCAACTTTCATAGAATTAAATATCTCAGAGGTAAAAGACTTGGTTAACTGTGGTTCTAATGTCTACAAGTAGTGTTGGGGGAGGGGAAGGGTGGGCTGGCCGGGGAGTTCATCAAAGCATTCTTATCAGCAGGGATGGGACTTGAGGAGAAAATCGGGCTCTGTGCCGCTCGACCTTGGACACACTTAGGAAGTGAGTCCACCTTGATGTCACACCTTGGCAGCAAGTGGGATCGAGTGGCAAGATTGACAAGATACGCATTCTCCACATCTTTTGACTGCTTGAACAGCTTGACCACTTCTTCCCAACACAGATACATGAGAAAGCAGGCTAGACTGCCAGGTGGTTACAAACATGACACCAACCAGCGCAAGTGAGTGCTCATACATAAAACTCACGCCCAGGAAACCTAGAGACGATGCCTTTCTTTTGACATGGATAACCCAGCATGCCAATGATCCCCGAAGAGGTGGCCTGGCACAGGGTCTTCTTGGAAACATCAAGAAACCAATATGATGAAGGCAACGTGGTTACCTATTACGCCAAAGACCATGGCCCAGGGGAAGGTACCTGGAGCACAGACCTCCAGCTGCTCATTTTCTTTGGAGGCGTTGAGTTCCATCCTCTTCCCAACCACCCCTTTCCCCGCCTGCTTAAAGGGACCAGGGCTAACACCAACGTAAATCATTTTGGCTCCTGTTCTAATTTCTGAAATTCCTAAAATATCTGTGCAGCCCACAAGTATGTCCGCTCCACTCTGCTGTTATTCAGCAGCTTGCTGCCAGTGAGGTTTGTGTTTTTTTATGATTCCTCTGGTATGTAGGACAGTTTCACAGCCTAGATAAGGTAAGTACAATGCTCGATATGTTCACATAACCCCATACTTCAAAGCAAAGCATTTGGTCGGGTAAGCAGTGTGTAAGCTCTTTCGGCTAATGAGGGACAAAGTCCGTAAGCTGCAGATCTGCAAAGGAACGTTCTTTGCACTATGGTGTGCTCATCTGTTTCTTTCTCATTTGTTCCACTAGAATCAGTTGCTTCAATTTGTAAACAATTAACTTTACCACCCAAAGCTGCTCAAAATGATAAGATGGGGGGAGGGCGGGAAGGAGGAGGATTACAAACACACATCAAAAACTAGGATAGTCAGTCAGTCTTAAACAAAATAAAACAAAACAAAAACAAAAAGACCTGCAAACAAAAGCGATACTGTTTAAAAAAAAAAAAAAAAAAAAAAAAAAAAAAAAAAAAAAAGACAAGAAGGAACTGGGAAAAAATGGAACTACCTGTATATAAATTAGGTGAGCAAAAAAACAGTGATACGGGTAGTCTTAAGAAGCAAATATATATACAGTCAATTTAACAGTGTTTACTTCTCTGGATTGTTCAATAGTGTCAAAAAAGGAAAGGTCTATTGAAGTTTCACTATACATTGCATTGATTGAACCTTGGAGTTTTATGAAAACAGGGGCCTTGCTTGGCAATGTCTGCCAGTCTTCCTCGCCCCTTTCTTTGAAATGCCTGCCCCTCTTTGCCCAGATTGTTTCCTGACCATCGGAACTCAGACGGGGTCCTCTAAGTTCTTCCCGGATACGCATAAACCCCTCCACGAGAGCCCCGTGCGCAGTGAACCAACCCTCCGGGGTGCGAGGGCATCTGTGTTGCCAGGGACTCCAGACTGACCAGCCAAGGCTGGTGTCGTCCCAGAAAAATCAGGTCTGTCCACCTCCCCTCTCGGCCTCTTCGGCTGGAATGGATCTCACCCCCAGATTAGAAGCAGTACAGACTTCTAATTCTACAAGCCATCGCCCCGGGGCTAAGGAGTGAAGATCTTTCAGCCACGCCACCACGCGGCATGCTGGGCAGAGCCGGCCTTACAGTTTCGTACTGGGGTGTACGGATGACAGCTGAGAAGACGGGAAGGCGGCTTGAGGGTTTATAGCAGCTAAAGGGTAAATGCTGTTGTGCAAGAGGTCCCCGTACGAGTTTCCGACTGGCGTGGCCGCGGCCAGGTGTCTGTACAGCTGCTGGGAGTTGGTGGGCGACGTGAAGATGCCTCTTTGCATCACGAGCGAGTGGAAAGCCAGGGGCTGCATGAGCGGGGAAAGCACAGTCTGGTTTTTCAAGTACTGCAGAGAGTGAGAATACCCTGCCGGGAGCCGGGAGCTGAGGCCCGAGTTACACAGGCTCCCGGAATACAAACCTGGGAAGATAGGGGACGAGAGGGGCAGCTTGTGGCCTTCCGAGGCGCCCCCCGAACGCCCCCCGTGGGCCGCCTTGCCGCCTTCGCTCTCCTGCTCGCAGGCCTTCTCCTTCGCAGACACCTCCTTGGAGGGGTCCAGGGGGGACACGGCCCGGGCCTTCTTCCCGGCGATCACCAGGTCCAGGTCCTCCAGGCTGCGCTTTATGGGGCGCGCCGCTCCGATGTTCTGCGGGCTCATTTTGCGGTGCAGGATGGGGTGCACCATGCCTTCCATCTTCCTGAAGTTCTCCAGCCTCACGTGGTGGGGCTTTGCGGATCTCGAAAGCGTCTCCTGGTATTTCTTAGGAGCCGCCGACATGGTCATCGGGGACACCCGGCAGGCCTTGGGGTGACAGTCTCGGCTGTGGCTGTTGAGGACCTGGAACTGGGAGGCGCCTTTGCTCTCCTGGGGCCCCGGGGCCGCGTGGGCCAGGCCCAGGACCTTGCCGGTGGGTTTGTGCGGGTTCTTGGGGAGGCTCAGGTCCGTGGGCTGATCGTCCGTGGTGGCCTCGGCGGTGGCCGACTTCTTGTCCTGCAGGTGCAGGGACGAGAGATAGCTCCCGTGGAGCTTGTCTTGGTGTTTGTGGGAAGAGAAAGAACTGTTCTCCGACTCCCTGTACAGGTGGTCCCTGCACGCGTACTTGGAGGACTGCTCGTTGTGAAGGTGATGCTCCGTGTGTCGGTAGAGGCTGTGGAGGTGCGGGGAGGAGTAGAAGTCGGCCAGGAAGCTGGGCATATGGGCGTGGGGGAGTGCCCTCTTCTCCAGCAGCTTCTCCTTGCCCTCCTGGAGCTCCTGTTTCAGGACGTAGGAGTCGGCGAGGGGGCCGAGGTGGTGCTTGGAGAAGCTGCAGCGGTGGGGGTCCGATCGGCTCAGCTTGTCGTGCTTGAAGATGTCGCCAATGCTCTTCCTGTCCTCGGAGGGCTTGCTGCGGAAGCTCTGCACATGCTGGATCACCGAGGGCCGGCTGACCGCCGCGTGGTCCGTGCTCTGGCCGTGGTGGGCCTGGGCCAGGCCCGAGCACAGCTCGTCCCTGGCGATCAGCTTCTTCTTGCTGATCAAAGGGGGCGGCGAGCCGTAGGGGTAGCTGCTGGAGAGGCTGGCCCCGCTCACCTGGGACAGAAGCTTTTTCTTGGCCAGCGGGGACATGATGCCCGGGTTGCCCCTGGAGTAGAGCAGCGGGGTGTAGTTGAGTCCGTGGTTCTCATTCATGGGCCCCGTCAGGTCTTTGTCCTTGAACATGTCGAAGGACTGGACCACCAGGACCTTCGGGGTCTGCTTCAGCGCAGTGTGGATGTCGTCGCTGCCCAGCTGGTCCACCTTCACGGTGCAGTTGGCAATGTAGTCTGCCATCGGGGGCGCCCTGTCATCGTCCATCTCGCTCTGGTTTGCCAGCGGTGGCTGCGTGGCGGGGAAGCCAGGGAAGGTGGCGTCTTGGGGTTCGTTTTCGGGGCTCTCTGTGAAACGGCAGGGCTTGGGTTCTGGTTTTGAGTCGGCCAGAGCCCTGGGAGAGGTGAGAGGCTGCTTGCCAGCCCCCGGGTCCCTGTCGGCGGCCGAAGAGGCACTCGGGAGTGGAGGAGAGGGGCCCTTGTCTCCAGCCTCCTCTGCCATCTTCTCACTGTTGGCACCACCTTGGTCTGCTTTGTTCTCCTTTTCTGGGTCTGCTGTAGATGCCAGGGGCCTGGCTGCAAAATCCTGGTACCCTTCCATTTTCTTCTTCACGTCTGCTGCGGGGAGAGGCTCGGGGATGCTCTTCTGGTTTAAAGGTTCTTGCTCCTTCTCTTGCTCTGAAGAGACCTGATAAGATATGGCAAGACAGTCAGAAGGAAGTCAAGGGTATTGACACGTTTTGCTATGAACTAGAATATTACACGCAGCAGTTTTTCTTGAAAACAAGCTTGTCAAACAGTTCACATCGTTTCGGTAGAGCTTTATCACTCCCTGATCATACCTCTAAACAAAGAAATCCAAATTACAGAAACATTAGGGGAAATATGCATATTCACTTTAGTCCCTTAGGAGACACTTATCAAAATATCCAAGTGTTATGTACTGATGGTATACAATCATATCACTCCTTGAGTCTAATATACAGTTTAATTCTGAGGTTGTCTTCTTGTCAAATCAGTCAATTATCCAAATGGGTTTTAAATTACATGTTGTGCTTTATGACACTTTGGAGAAAGATTTTTTTTTTTTTAAAGCATCTCTTTCAAATATCTAACCACCTCCATGTCAACAAACAATCAACAAACTCCCTGACACTCCCCGCCGTTCTTTGACAGACCGTATCTTGTCCTAATGTGTCCAATTGGAGGCATAAAATCAATGATGCTTAAGTGTTTTTAATTTCTACTCCATGTCATGCAGATAAGCTGAAGTATTGAAAGACGATGGAGATGCAATATCGGCCTGACTACCTGAGGGACAGGAGGGCTGTAAGTCCTTCTAGGCTGCAGCAAGCTACATTTCCATGAAAGTTGAAAATGAAGTTGTCAAAATTCAGGCAGTGAGCGCCAGCACAAATACAGCTTCTCTGTTCAGTGAAATCAATTGTGGTCAATGAGATGGATGCTCTTTATGTGTCCCTATTCACAGAAGTTGCGGGCACAATTCGACCCATTCATTGCTTTATGTAGCTGTGCAAACTTTGACCTTTGAAGGTCATTTTAACTTTCCATCTGTGACCCAGCTAACGGACAAGCTCTTTTAAACCTCCTGTCATTCTGTCCTGACATGTCCTAGTGGAGAATAGTCCCAAAACAGTTGTATTGAACTGGTCTTCACCCCCCACCACCCCACTCCACCCCAATCTCATCTCCATGAACATTGTTCTTCTTTGCTAAGAAAAGAAGTTTTGACCACAGTAGCACTTTTGGGTAAGACTGGGGATGCTGGTGTAGGGATGCATAGGGATAAAATTTTAAGGAATCACATCCATTTAATCAATATTTCTCCTTAAGTCCACTTAAAGATATCCCTGGGTTTTGTTTTTTCTTAGATTTGTGTTATACCTAAGAACCTGTGTGTGCCATCTTTCATTTATTTTTTTGTACTACCAGTTGCCTTTTCAGTACAACTATCATTACTTGTTCTACATTAACAGCATCACTGGTCTCCTGAGCTTTTTCATTACAAGAAATGCAGAACAAATGCGTACAGCCAAGGACAAAGGCAAATTGCGCTTGAATGTCAGTTCCTGATGGGACAGGAATTTGAAGTGGAGCTATCAAGGATACTCAGTTCCAATGAACTTTTTATGACCTCGACCTTCAGTTACATGGAGTTCCATGCTTTCTATTGTAAAACAGGTTTAGGAGGTCTTTGAAAGCTAGACAGAAAAAGGGAAAGGATGAAAATTTTCTGATCTGCCCTTAGTATTTTAAGTGCATCTTCCCACCAGGCAACTTGCAATCCAATCCAATTACCTGAGAATATTGGGTTTGATGAGAAGGGCTTTATTTATTTATTTGTTTGTTTGTTTAATCCTCACTCAAGGATATTTTCCCATTGATTTTTCAGAGAGTGGAAGAGCAAGGGAAAGACAGAGAGAAACATCGATGTGAGAGAAACACATCGATTGGTTGCCTCCTGCACGCACCTGGGCCTAGGCTGGGGAGGATCCTGCAACTGAGGTATGTGCCCTTGACCTGAATCAAACATAGGACTCTTTGGTCCACAGGCTGACACTCTACACACTGAGCCAAACCGGCAAGCAAGAGGAGGGCTTTATAAGCTCTCCTGTCTCTACTGAGTTTACTACTTTATATTGAAAACATCAAAAATTAAAAATAATTAAAACAATGACAACAACAAAGCTCCAGGCACATAATTAGTGGGAAGAAATATACCTGGACAATAGTACGAGTCTATGTTGGAGGTGGGGAACAATTCTTACTTATAAAGGTCAACCTTGAAGAGGGTATGAGATTCCAGGTAGTTTAATAATTTTTTTTTTAAATTGATTTTTAGAAAGAAAGGAAGGAAGAGAGGAACATCAATGTGAGAGAGAAACATCGATCAGCTGTCTCCTGCACATGCCCTGACCAGGAATTGAACTGGCAGCTTCTTGGTGAATGGGATAATGTTCAACTGAGCCACACTGGCCAGGGAAGATTCCAGGTAGTTTTGATAACTTGATAATAATAATCTTTGATACTCAATTCACTAACAGCTCCCTGAAGGGGACTGTTGGGACCCATAGGACAAAGGCTTGAAGGGTTTCCATGGCCTGCAGGTCATCTGGCTCCACACTGACAGTGGTCCTCCCCTCAGCTGATGGGCTCAGGGCACAGGCTGAGGATTCTTCCCACAATTTACAAACCAACCATTTTAAACTTCGTCCCCAAAGTGGAGCCGTTCAAAGGTCAGCTGGCCTCTTGATCCTCAGTTTGCCCCCCAGTGGTTTGGCAATGCTGTACTTATGGTATCTAATAGAACTCGCTAATTCCAAACCGGTAATAAATCACCAGGCCAACAGGGTAAAGGAAGAATGGAATGCAAGCCTTCACTTGGAATTTCCTTGCTTTTGGCTATTTGTGTTGCAAGCTTGCAGATATTTAGAAATCTCTGCATCACCTCTTCTCCTCCACCCCCTAATCTAATTTCTAGAGCTTTAAGTAATTATGAAACAAAACTCAAATTTCATCTTCGTATTAATACTATCTTCTTACACAGCATTCAGTGGGGGTATGTTGAATTCTAGGGAAGAGATTGTGGGGTTGTGTTGTGTGTGTTTTAAACCAGTGTTTAATTAGGGAGTCTCTTATGTGTTCATTATAAACTTGATTTTTTAGGGGGTGTTTAATATCAGCAACGAAATTCCCTCTGGGGTTGAATCTTAGAACATGCTGTCTCCAAATGTGGCTGCTAAGTTTTTTTTTGTTTTGTTTTGTTTTTTATTATGGGCAGCAGGGTTTTTATTATTCATGTTGAAACAGAGCCCAGATCAGCCTCCATGACTGGCTGTGCGCTGACATTAATGGCTTCTACCAAGGAGCTGTGGGGGGCTGCGGGTAGCTGGGGCTTGTTTTAAAAGGTTAGAAACTACCTGTTAACATGAGAGATAATGATGGTTTCAGAGGAACCATTTCAAAATTTCCCCATAAATAATATGTACTTAAGATGTTTCTAAACTGGTCTCAACCCAAGGCTGCTGCATACAAGTCCATTACGGAGACAAAGGCATCCCTAAAGTTTCCAGGTCCATCAATTTCAACAGCCCTGTCTACTAGGCCCCACGGAGCACTTTTAAAGTCACACCACCTCATTGGAGAGCCTGGCTGTGAAACAGCAAAGCCATAACTTTCATGTTGGAGTCCCCTGGCTTCTCAGAGCTGGAGCTCTGGCTCCTTCTCTCTCAAAGTCGGTGGACGCTATCCGTTTTTTATGGGATGCTCGCATCTTTCTGGATCCTATCGTTGGCCTATCCCATTCAATACCATGGACTGCCTTTCAGCCCTGGAACAAGCAAAAAGGGCCACTACTGAGGGAACTGTGAAGCTGAGATGATTTGATTTCTCATTGTAGCACTGCAACTGTGTAGGGTCTCAGCTGTGGGTGCAGGTCTCAGCTGTGGGTGCAGGGTTCGGGAAACCCTGAGGCAGGACACTTCCGGTAGTATGTCTGGGGAGGAGAGCGACTCACCTCTGAGGCATCCTGGAGCTTCGGGGCATTCTCTTTTTCTTTCTTGCTCTTGGGGATTTCATGTTTGATGCGTTTGGTTCCCGATACTTTTGTTTTATTCTCATTTTCTTGTGAACTGTTCTCCTGTTTCCGAGGTTTGATTGGAGGCAGGGGCTTGTCTTCCTCTCCTTTAATAAACCTTTCATATGGCAGGATTAATCTGAAAGGATATCAGGAGACATGATCAATCCGAGGATGATTAATCAGGCAATTCCATTAGCATCAATATTATGGTTTATTTTCTTTTCTCAATACAAGCAATTTATTATGTGACTTTATTTCCAGTGACACCAATGCTTTTCTAGAAACTTACTCCACAGTTACCTCCCTACTCAAAACCAGTGCCTACTGACTTACATACTTCTTTGCAAGATTGCTCTCTGGCTCTGTAAGGATGACAGGGGAAGCATCCACATTTACATCATCATCGCTGTCCATGGAACCTGGCTAAGTGCCAGCAATGATATCACAACAATAATAGCAATAATGATAGCTGCCATTTACTCATAATTCTGCCCACAACTATTTATTGAGCACGGTCTCTGTGCCAGACTCTGCTCTAGGCACTAAGATATACCAGCAAACAAAAGATTCAACGCCCGACCGCATGAGGCTTATATTCTAGTAAGTACTAGTATCTGCCCTAGGTACATAATATATATCATTTCATGTAATTTACATAACATCCCTAGGGAGTAAATTACCATAATATTTATTATAATCATACCAATAATAAAAACGATTACTATTATTATTGCTAACGGATGAGACAACAGAGGCGCCAAAAGGTTAAAGAATTTGCCTGAGAGTCACACCAGTTGATAGAGGTAGAGTCTGAACAACTTTTGCCCATCTCCAAAGTTTATATTTTTGTCATGCCAAAATATAGACTAGACACTTAAGATAAAGACCTTAATGCAGTGGTTCTCAATCTGTCTAATGCCAAGACCCTGAAAACACCATAAGACCATCGGAAAACATAGATATTTACATTACAATTCATAACAGTAGCAAAATTACAGTTATGAAGTAGCAACGAAAATAATTTTATGGTTGAGGGTCACCACAACATGAGGAACTGTATTATATGGTCCGGGGCATTAGAAAGGTTGAGAAGCACTGCCTTAATGAGAGGCTAGCACAGCTGTCTCACACAGCAGCTCTGGGGGGCCGGGAGAGGGGGTACAGAGAGGGAGGTGACCCCAGCAGGAGGTGCGGTTTAGGGGTACCAGGTAAAAGAGGGCCCCAGTAAGAAGGAAGGTGGACAGACCACTCTGGCCATAAAAATCAGAGGGCTGAAAATAATTCAAGCATTTTAATTACATAACTTTTTTATACAAAGTACATAAAATTGCTCTAAAAAGAGAAACATCAAACGGCTCTAGTTTTAATCTGTTTCCCCTTTGTGCCGTAGCTCTTGATCTGAAAGGGAAAAATAGCTGATGTAATTAAAAGGGATGGATTGCATTACAATCTCAGTTTCAACTTCAGTGATTAAAGTTCTTATAATGCATTTGGTATGATTAATGACTCACTGTGGGATTAATACAAGACTCAGCCTTAAAAAATATGAACTTTAATACAGCCACCATAATTTGTTTTAAATAAGACAAGTTGACTCAATGAAGAAAATGTACTTGGCTCATAAACAACATAAATCTGTTCCAATATCGGGAACCCTAATTATTTTTTAAACTCAGACTCCCAGGCAGAAACTTCTTTGGTGTGGATATTTGCTAGCGATCCTGAAATTGGTTTCTAACTACGTCATTTGGATCTCAACGACTTCCACATACACAGCCGTCCGGGTTTGCGAGTATAGACATGGGGGCATTTGTGATCACAAGATTTCACTCTTTAATAAAATACCATGCAGATGATGGGGAAAATCAAATCCCTTATTTATAGCATAGTAGGCACAAATTTCATTTACTGAGCATGCTCGGACAAGGTATGTGCAAGGAGGCGTGAATAACCGTTGTGAGCCCTATGTCTGGCAGTGGGCCAGCCATGAAGATCAACTTGGCCCATGGGGAATAGCTATCTTCAGATCCCATTACAAACTGAGTTTAAACATGTCACAGCTGCTAAAACTGGAAACTGTTCTCTCCATGTAGACTTACTAAAATAATATATGGCTGCCAAATACCTGCTTCCCACTGTAATATTACAGTTAATGTTTATGTAATAAAAAGCATAACGAAGCAGAAGAAGAGAGGGGGGGAAAAGCCATCTTGTTCAGACTTGAATTTATTTGTCTCACCTGTAAAGTCCCACCATCCTCCCCAGTTCCTTTTATCTGCGTGGTCCTGCCAGGGACGTGGTCCCCCTTCGACATCGGCAAGTGGGGGGGGGGGGGTGTTCCGGGAGCAAAATGCATGGGATGTTTTAAATTGGAAAGAATATTTTTAATTGACTTCAATGAGAGTGTATTTTATTTTATTTTTTTATTGTTGGGGCAGATAGGTCTGTTTTGCTTTTGTTTGGTTGCCATGGGAATCCAAGGAGCACTGAAGTCTGGCTATTCCAGTGGTTACCACCCTTCTCCCAATTCCATTCTCCCAGTGAGATAGTGACGCCATGGGAGACCCTCTCCTGGGAGAAGGATGACAGCATCATCTCTGAGTGTGAAGCAGAGACTTGGGTGGAAGAGACACCCAAGGGGGGCCCCAAAGGACCCCTCACCTCCGGTCCTGACAGTCCTGGGCCAGCCCAGCTCTCTAGATGGGTGCTAAGGAGGCTGTAATTTCCTTATACAAATTTGCAAGTTCAAGAGGCAGGGCAACATTTCCATTTCATTTCTTTTTTCTTTTCTTTTTTTCCCCCAACTCTTCACTCAACTCAGCAGCTGGCTGGCCGACAGCAGAAAAAAATACATTTCACTTTGCTGGTCAAAGGCCTAAAGCCAGAAGCAGGAAATCTGGAATTAAATGTTTCTTGTATCTGGAAAGAGGCATGACTAAGGTAAAACTGAATCCAAACATAAGCCCTGCTTATTCAAGGCTTCCAAAGGGAGTGTGTGTGTGTGTGTGTGTGTGTGTGTGTGTGAGAGAGAGAGAGAGAGAGAGAGAGAGAGAGAGAGAGAGAGAGAGAGAGAGAATGTGTGTGTGTATAAAGGTCAATTGAGTGTGTTGTTTTTTTTTCCCTTTCTAAATCACTGAAAGATAATTATAGTGGCTCAGTGAAAAAAAGGCTCCCAAAATAAAACAAGAAAGGCAGCAGCTAAAAGGAAACCAGAAGAAATATGACCAGCTAAGCCCCTGAAGAACAGGGCATGGTCTCACACAGCACCCAAACAATCGCTGTTCATGTAGGGATTTCCGTTTGCTGTGATTTTCACTGAATGTTTTTCAGTCATCCTGTCAGGGTACAATACAATTACCCCCACAGGATGTGATCTTATCATCCGATTATTAGAGGTTTTTACAGTCTAAGGGAGGGAAGCTATTATAAGTTTCTGAACATTTAAATGTTTAACATAACATGCGATAGCATTAAAAACAGGTTAGCCAATAGAAGGTCAACATTGCCTAATGCAGGAAGCTGAGGAGGTTCGGACTATATAAAGAATGTAGTATAATGCAACGTGCCTGTGCCTTGCAGATGATTATGCCTCAGACATTTGTAGTACAACACAGATTCAATCAGTCTCCAAACTGCACCGATAAAAGCAAAAAGGCACCTCAGCCCCCAAGAACTCATTACACAAGGAGAAATCTTTCCATGAACTGCAATGCTGAGAACGCAGGCTGCGTGTAAGGTTGATGAAAGTAATGGGGAAAGAAGCAATATATTCATTAGAATGATCCCCCCCCCATGATCTCCATCTAGTCTAAGGATTGAAAGCTGGGCAGATAAATGGACCTTTATTATTATCCAGATTTCACATTTCAGATTAGCAAAATGCTTATTTGCGATGCCATTAATGGATCTGAAATAGGTAAGCCATCCTGTATTAAAAAATAACATCTTGCCATACACATAAGATTGTAGCAGCATGAGATTTTTTTTCCCTAGGAATAATACAAGAATAACATTTTCCACCCCAAAGCAGAAACAGTAGGGGAGCCTTTTGCTATCAAGGAGATTCTTATTAAATTCAGTCACTGTGAAAAGCAAGATTTTTTTTCCCCTCCTGCTTCTTTGCTTTCTTTTTTAAATAAAGACAACTTAAAATCAACCCAAATTAAAATGAACAAATCAATGGCATTATAACCCTGATTTATTGGAGTCTGAGCCACTAAATTATCATCCTACATGAAATTGCTTGTTTGTAAAGATTTCGGCTTTGTTAAATCTCAAGTTAAATAATGGTGCTCAGTGTACTAGGATTTTAGATCTGCCTCATCTGATATTATGAAAAATTCAATACATTTCTCTGCAGCTGAAGTCAGGGGTCAGCAAATCTATTACTGTAATGTAAGTAATCTGGCAACCTGCCAACTCTTTCTCCCTTTTATTTTTTTTTTTTAAACGCCGAGGCAGATAATTTTATATTTACAAATTCCTAGGCCTTTCCTCTCTTTCTCAGCAAAAAGCAGCAGCCTTGCTTGTGTTTGAGAAATGGATACCCATCCACGTCCTCAACATTTACATTTCATACAAAAGAAGAAAAGACCCTTCATCTTTATTAGGCAACATTTCCCTCCCCTCCCTGAGGGCAGAGGAAAACTAATGTCACATCTCATCTGCACGAGTAACCGCTAATGTCTCCCATATTGATTAATGCTGGCGTGGAATGACTGAACTTTTGGGCCAAAACATTTAGCAAACAGTACTTAAGAGGAGAAATGAGAATCCATCTATTTATAGAGCTCTGAAAAATGATATTTTAATAATGTTCTGAAACTGATTCAATATGGAGAGTGGGGGAAGGTAATGGGGGGGGGGTGTAGTTGTACCTCATCCCAGTTACTTCATAGGTACTCTTACAGGATCAAACCAGTAAGATAAATAAATAAATATCCAGACCAAAGACCTGCTGGTGACTGGGAACAGGATATTTTGGGGGCAGAGGAGAATAAAGTTAGCATTTGCCAACAAAATGGTGGGAGAATGCAACATGGATTCTGTGCCAGGAACTACCAAGGGTCCACTGTAGCAAGCCTTTTACAAAGAAAGTAAGTATAAATAGCATCATTTGTGCCCTGGCCGGTTTGG